CGGGGCTCCCGGGCTCTAGGCTGGTCTGCACGTTTTGTGGGTGCTCCCTTCCAGCCACGACCCCTGCCGCGGATGAGATGAGGGTGGATGATGGTCCCCGGAGCACTTCTGACGCCTCGGCGAGGCCCAGAGGCCTTCGAGGTCATCCAGCCCACCCCGCCCACTGCAGGGGCGGATCCTGCCCTTTGAGACAGTAGGCTGTCCCACCTACTCGGGCGGGGAGGGACGGCGCAAGCATTGGCCTTTGGCAGGCACCTTCATTGGGCAGCCGAGGCCTGCGGAAGAGCTCCGCCGGGTGCCGGCCTTGGCCCAGCAGGCTGAGCCTTCGGGCAGCTCCCCCAAGGCAAAAATGCAGCGCTCCTTCCGCGTTGCTGAACCTGCCAGCAGCGTCCGAGACGCACGGCCGCTTCGGCCTAAAAAGCAATGAGACCGGTGTTGGTCCCCAGAGGGAACCCCGGCGTCCGTATCTGGGCAGCACTGTACAAGAGCCAGCTTAAAATGACGGTTAGACCAGAGGCTTCAGCCATGACGGCTGCAATCTGACCGAGCGCCGCCGCATTAGCATGAAACGAGGGTCCGGCTGCTTTGGAAAGCTAGCCGAGAATCCAGGGGCGCCTGCGCATCTAGAGGGCAACAAGTTGCGGGGAGCTGATCTGTCTACCGGAGGAAAGGAACCTCCGTTCCCAGGCAGACGTTGCGCAGGCTGCTGCTTCAAGAAAGGGAGGCTCTGAGTTTCCCAAGATCCGTGAAGATAATGCAGCAGGTGGCTTTCCCTGGGCAGGGAGGCGTGCAAGCAGCCGGGCCGTCCCCGGGGAAAGAGCAGAGCAGGGGTCTCCTCTCACCTGGCTAAGGGTCTCCTGAGCTAAACAAAGGAGGGGAAAGCTGGCTGGGAGGACAGCCAGAGGCCGGGCAGGTAGCATAGGAAAGATTGCCCAAAGAGGAGCATAAAAGGTCTCAGAAAGAAAGAAAGAAAGAAAAAATTGCTTCGGGATTCATCTGCCTTCCCTGACGTGGCACCCTCCAGGTGCCCGGAGCGTGAGATCGGAAGAGC